TGTTATCCATTTTGCCTATAGAATCTTTATTACAAAACTGGGAACCATAAATATTTCACTCTTTTCTGAACAATAATAACCTATCACATTCTCTTCAACATTAGCTAAATCAAATTTGGAAAACCTTCCTCATATCATTATGAGAATATTGTTACAGAAAAGTGTTACATATTCTGCTGAACACTTAATGCTCTTGATTGTATCCTTTACATCTTGTGGCAATTTTACAATTGTACATCATATTACATATTTGATGAAACAGTTACATTGCAACTGAACATACTAAGGAACACAATGATTTCTTTCAACATGAATTTGTATGCTTAAATTGCTTAGCACTTCTAAAAACACAAAGGAAGGAACTGTACAGAAGAGCAAGGAAAAGCATGTAAATGGCAGGGAGAAAAAAGCCTTCCAGACATACACTACATGTAATATATCATAGGAAATAATCTATAATAGTCTTAAAGGACAAAACATTTGGTTACTTTTCACTTGAGTTCTATATGTACAGAGACATTACAAATTTATACATTAGGAGAAATTAAGTGAGCAAAATGATCACTTACCACAGAAAACCTTAAGAAAACTATATAATGCCAAACCCTTTTAGTATACCTACCCTCATTTCAATTTGCTTTCATGCAAATAAAAGGGCACATACCAATATGCAAAATTCTGACTGATATAAAATATAAATGTAATCAAAGCCTCCAAAACTAATAACTATTTTTTTTCAAAGTCCTCTGTTTTCATGTTGCTATCTCTCCCTCCAAAAATGAAAAAGTAAATAAAATAATAAAATAAATAAAAATATATTATTCTATCTTACTGTTTACAAAAAATCTACTTCTGGCTTCCTCATCAAAGTCTCAAACATACTGTTCAAGGCAGCAAGGATTCAGTGATTTCACTTCTATGATATGTGAAGCACAAGACTTGATATGTGGTTCTTACAGCCAACATCTTAATATGAAATAAAAATGCAAAAAATTATAATAACAACAATAATGAATGAAAAAATATGACAAAAAATGAGGGGAGAAGGATTTTCAGGTAGCCACATATTAAAGTTCAAGAGCTTCTTTCACATATGCCAATATTTCAGTCAAGCTTTTAAGTTTCCTCATCCAACTGTTTTAAAACATAATACTTGCATAGGACTTGGAAGGGAAGGAACATGTCAAACCTTAACATAAACTCTGCTTCAATAAAAGTTACATACATCATATTACAGTGACCTACACCTCGAGGTCCTCCTACAGATCATGTCACCAATGACGAGAATATTAAAGATCACTGGTAACACAATCTATACTTTAAACTTCAAAATATTTGTCAAAAATTAAATTTTCAAGAGCAATACATCAAACTTGGGTAGGTCATAAGAGGATGTATAGATGATCAAAGTCAGTCTTATATCTGTATCCAAGAAGTTTTCTCCTTTCACATAAAAGGTCATATCAAAAATCAGATTATGGAGCTGGAAAGCCTTCTAGCTGTAAAGGGTATATAACATATGTCTCAGATAAGTCTGAGCAAGGACATTGTAAATGTAACTAATATTCAGATTTAATCTATATTTTCTCCACTTGTTTATATATATTATATATTTGCTTAATTTTTTTGTCCTTATAATGCATAACAATTGTTGACACTGCAAGTGATATAGCTTGAAGCCAATAGAATAAGTTCTGGAGGTGACATAAAAAAAAAAAAAAAAAAAAAAAAAAAAAAAAAAAAAAAATTCTGACAGGCCTGCCCAGGAAATCAGCCTGAAAACAGAAATGTAAAAATTTGTGCATGCAAAACATAGTTAAATGCTGCTTACTATATAAATCCTCAAAAAATAAGAGGAATAATTAAAACAAACAATTTTTTTTGCACATTTCAAAATTAAAGAGAAAGTAGAAAGAGAAAAATAAGTTTTCTGAAAGAAACTTTTCAGGTTTTGTAATATAAAAGAATTGACCACGAAACTAAGTATGTGCATACATGCACACATGTGCATGTATGTGTGTATTTTGTGTGCAAATGCATGTCCATGAGTGTGAGTGAGCAAGGATAATAAACAGCTAGTGTGATTTTGGGAAAGGGAGACTGAGCTTGTATGCTTACTTCTGTAAGTGTTATTCTAGGTGTGAGTGTAGGTGAAACCTTACAAGTATGAGTCTAAGTGTGAGAATGTGACAGAGTAGAAGCAAGTGCATTTGAGAGCAGGACTTTAATATCCATTCCGAAGAGAAAGGAGAGAAGAGAAGAGAAAGGAGTGGAGACAAAAAATATACAAAAGTTACAATCACTTGAAGCCCAAATTTTGAAAGTCAAATTAATTTGGGTTGCATCTATGAAATCTCAGTAACATTCTCCCAGATGGATTTTTTTTAGATCACCATGGGTAACTCTGACTTTTGATAATCTTATTCAAATATGTAGCAAGCAGCACAAGTATCGAAATGCATGCTATGGACAGTTGTTAAAAGCATGTGAGATTCAAATAAAGCCATTTTTTGCACTTGAAAACTCAATAAAAGAATGACAATGGTGGCATCACAAATATAATGAACACATTCATCAGCCGTGAGCAGCTGCAGATGGGACTGACAAAAGATTCGCACAATATTACTATAACTAAGGTAAATGGATAATGAAGGAGAATGAGGAGGAAGAGGAAGAACAAAGAGAACAAGAAAGAAAAGGAGACAGAGAAAGAGGAGGATGGAGGAGAGGAAGAAGAAAGTAAGAGGATGAGCAAGAAGAGAGGAAGGGAAAGATGAGGGACAAGAAGAAAAGGATGATGGAGATGAATAAGGTGGACTAGTAGGAAGAAAAAGTTGTGAAGAAAGAAGGAAAAAGATACTTTTTAAAATCTGAAAAACTAAAAACTATATAGAGCAGAAAAAGAAAAGATGCTCAGTGAAAGATGATATCAAACCAATAGGCTTTGACTTTTCTAAAAAATAAAAATAAAAATGAATAAAAAATAAAAGCAAAATACCAAACAATGATCTCGTCAAAGTTAAAATATTTAAGATTCAGGAAATTTCTTGCAAAGAGTAATTCAGGGTTATAAAAGAAAAGTCTATAGATTCCCTTTTTTCTTTTTTCACTTAGAAACAGGATGGCAACAAAATATGATAATCAGACTTCTCTACATCAATATGACTACATATATAAATTAATAAATTCTGTACTCCTTCATCTCTATCAATACTATATTATACATGAAGACTACATAATACATCATACTTTCTAATATGTATATTCAACGGAACACAAGGATACAATACCTCTTAATACAAAGGACATGGCCTCTCCACTTTTACAGGTAAAATAACTTTTTCTTCTTTATAGAAAATAAAATGACCAATTAAATGGTAGTAAAAAAAAGGCACATTCAAGACTAATACATTTTAAGTGTATTCTAGAACACAACAAAACTGTAAACAAGCAAACAAAATAACAAAAATAAAATTTTGCAAAGGAAAGTTCACAGTTAAATATCAAAGCATATTAGGAAATTGCATAAGTACCACATTAATAAACACTGTCAATAATACACAGGTCATTAATCATCTAATTATTATAATGAGCAATTTCACAGAATATTCCAAACTGCAATTCCACAATACATGGCTAAATAGAGGAACTCCATACCAACTATCATCACAAATTCATGACCAAAAAAAAAAGAAAAAAAAAAAAATATATAAACATTTTTCCTTGGGGTTTGGGGGTGGGGTAATAAGATGGCAAAAGTGATCGTCAAGTATTGAGGTTACTGACAATGCATAAAAAGATAATAAGTTATCAAGGGTAATATCCCTTTCATCTTTTGTTGCTATTGCACATAAAATTCAATGATAGACTAGTAGCTGAGACTCGGGTGTCTGGAGTAAAAGAACAGAAAAAAAAAATTAAGAAAAGATAATTGAAAGAAAAAGGGGGAAAAACTCCACAGAAATTAAATAAAAATAACTGGATTTTTTTTTAAAGATTAGGTTGAGGTGGGATGACCATTACATGATTGAACAGCTCTCCATTTCTGGTCTGTGAACTAGCATTCGCATATCTTCAGATGAGAATAAAACATATTTGTCCAGTTACAAAATTGTGGATAATGTGCAAAAAGAGGCATGAAAAAATAAATAAATAAATAAATAATAATAGTGATAATAATACTAATTTGTAAAAATGGGGAACTTTACAGAACACATTATGTATTATGTCACAGATAATTATCTGAACATCAAGGTCTGTATCTCAGTCGAATATCATTCCAGCAATAGTACATATATCATCTTCCTGATTTTAACAAAAAATATATAACAACAATAATAACTTTCATTCCGACATCATTATTGTTATCACTAGAATCCTTACCTTTAGTAGACTTAGTTGTTCAAATGTTATATCCCTACTAATAATCATAATCATATCTTTATCGTGAAATTTATATTTAATACATTATCAATATTAACGTTCTATTTCATAATCGTATTACTACTACTGTAATTGTTAATGATGTAAGTATAATTAACTTGATTTACAATATAAAATTGTATTCTCATCGCTATTTCTTTTAATGCCATTATCATTTCAAAGCTGTTGATTCATAATAGCATTATAAACTAGTAGCAATGGCAGTAGTACTAACAGTTTTATAAACAATATGAGCACTAGTAATATTTTATAAATGATTATGCAGTTTTCAACCAAATAACTGGTAATTTAAATCAAAATACCAATATCATCAGAAATATTAATATCATTAGTAGTAATCTCAAAAACAATAAATTCAGAGGTAGCAAAAATAACAATAATAATATTTAACAATATTAATAATTATAATTATTATTAATAATAACCATAATGAATAACCAGAATTAATAATTAATAATCATAAAAACAACAATAACAATAACAATAAAAATAATAAATGTTGATAATTATTATAATGATGATAATATTAATTAAGGAAAAACAGAATAAGATTATGAAAGAAATAACAAAAAATAAAAGAAAAATAATAATTAATAAAAACAAATATATAAATAAATGAATAGAACAAATAATAGAAATAACATGATCATCATCTTTGATATTCACCAAATGCACCAAGTGTCCTCAATACAATACTAACCTTCTTGATTCTGTTTTAAAAAAATATTTATTCTAACTCTAAGGAATAACAACAGACAGCCATTACGCCAGGACTTATAACAGCCAATACCTGATGCTCGAGGCACTATACCCAATCCCTTATAATAAACACTTATTTATATCACCAATTTACTGGAACAATATATATAGGCTTAAGACTGTGTCCAATTCTAATGAAGTGATAAAAAAAATGTGATAAACAATGAACGTGGAAACCAAAGTAAAAAATAAATTCCTGTGTTTATGCTATTTTCAAGTATCTAAATGCAATTTCTTTCCCTCACTCTTCATGTGACATATCCTTACGAATAAGAACTTTTAATGGGGTATTTCAGAGCAACTTGTACTATGAAAAGGGAATGCAAATATGAGGAAGAACAGAGAATGAAAATTATTACACTATGTAGAACATCTTTGCAGACACATCTTACCAAGAAGAAAAGAAAAAGGGAGAGACAAAATCAAAGTGTACCCATCTTCCCACCATGCTGAACCTTTTCCAAATCTAATCCACATGCCTTACTGTCTAGATACACTAATAATAGGGTTTGCAAAAGGCTTTTGTAAAAACACAAATCCCCAAAGTAACTCTTTCTTTCTGTGCATGTGTGTATTGTCTTTCAATGTGTACGCAAGGAGGACTATTCATAACTGCAAATGTGAGCATGTTTGCGTGAATCTGTAATTGTTTTCTTTATTGAAAAAGGAATGTGATAAGGCTCAAAAAAAAAAAACACTGCTACATAACCATACACAAGTTTTAAATCCAAAATAACCATTTTGAAGCCTTAGAGAGGAACGGTCATGTCCTAAGAAGCTGCCCCATGCTTCAATAGTACAAATAAAACTGCAAGTGGTCAGCTGAGAAGGGAAAATGTGGTCTCACACCAACAAACCATGTACTGCCCCATCTCTCTAACTAATCACGCCTACCAACTATCCATACCATGGCCACAGGGATATGAGGATATGGCATAGCAATAATATTTGTCCCTCTTCTCAGCCCTCCTCTATCTTGCCTTTCTCCTTTAATTGTTCTTGTATCCAAATGATATCATGATGTTTAATTTATTTTAAATATGTTCTGTTAAATGTTTACTGTCCTTGCAGAATAACCCTCCTCCTAGATTGTTTTTCTTACCAAATCAACACAATAAAAAAGAAATCTAGTGCTCAAAAGTTAGAAATTCAGATAACAAAACTTTTTACATAAATTTGCATAACGATAATTTTTGAAAACAATTTTCTTCTTAATTTCTTATTTTATTTCCTAAATACAATTAGACATCATCTTGAAAGGTATCCCTGTTTATGCATAGATTTATACTGGAAAATTCTTTTCTATAATGTTTCCCCCATAGAAACCTACTTTTACAAGTAATGGGCTCTGGATATTGGAATTCCAATGTTCATGATAAAAACTGAGTCAGCAAACAATGAAAATACTTTTAACAATATAATGTGTGACCTTTTCTCTCTCAAAGCATTAGGAAATCTACCTCTACAATAGTTAATTTCTTTATATGTGAAAAGAAGTCAGAAAAAAGAAATCATATACCATCTTAATTTCTTATTTTCATTTTACTAGTGCCTTTGCTACTGAAATTTTCTCACATCATAAAAATAAATAAAGCAATTAATTAATAAATCCCAAAAATGAGCTGGATGTTGCCTAAAATACCAAAATGAATGCTCTTCTCATTAAACATGCAAATAAAAGTGTTCAAAATAAACAATTATAATAAAATCAGTGTGTGAGTGGCTCTAAAAATGTAAATGCATGTGAAAGGGGGACATGCGAGTCACAGAGCATAAAGCTACAGTCCTATAACTAAACATGTAAAGTCACGTACACTCACAGAAACATCCATTTCTACTCACACAGCTAATCCGAGGCATATACACTTGCTGTCATACACATGGACACAAATAACCATGATACTTGAGTCTGACTTTTCCCCAATCCATCACTGTGCTCTAGGTTTAAGTTTCATTTCTATTAGTTTTTTTTAAGAACAATAAAATATGAGGAAGCACTGAAATAGTAAAGAACGTAATGTGTGAAACTTGGAAAAGATTAGTGTGAAACTGTCATTTATATCAGATAATCTGAATCACAAGCCAAGGCTTGATGAAGAATGGATATAAGATATTAACAATGATTAACAAATGATGACTATGGGCATCATAATAGTGGCTTAATAATAGGAGCAGGACAAGAATGATAGCCAAATTAATTCTGTACATGATACAGACCCTGGGCTCTCCTATGCTTACAGAAATACTCCTGAAGATGCTGCTCAGCTTTACCCCTATATCCCATGTACGAGTATGTTCTCTAATTCACTTGCTCACAAACTACAACTCATTCATTCATCCATCCTAATTACCCACCCACCCACTCACCTCCACCACCCATCTATCCACCTTCTCACTGCCTTACTATCACACACATGCTTAAACCCGCACATAATCATACAAATTCAAAACTTATTCATTCACTTCTTCACTCACAAAATGCATCTCCAAATATTCTGTATGCAAAGATAAATTACCTCTAGAATACTAAACCACACTAGAAGCAACTCCACTAGCATTTTCAACTAATAATGACATACCTATAACTACCAACGAGAATGGCAGGGCACTGGCATATAAATACAAAATTATGCACATGGATTGTTCATTTTCCAACACTCAATTATTTTTTTTATTATCATTGTACTGGTATCAAGGGTTTCACTCCTAATTACCTACTGGAATGGGGAGGGGGTCCAAGCACACTCTTAGTGAATAACACTAATCTGAGATCTAGCTAGACTTTCAAAAGTAATGAAAATAACTATTATAAGTATCACTAACACTATACCAGGAGTTCCATTCAGTTTTAAAGGATCTTTTTTTTCATTCCTTTTTTTCCTTTTTTGTTTTTGTTGTTCTTTCTACTTTGCTAAATGGATACAAGTAAATTCTTGGAAAAAAATGCTTCCTCTACAAAGCATTCACTCACATCTACTACACAGTTTCACAGATACTAGTTGTTGTTCATCTAGATACAGAAAGCTATCATTAATTTCAAAATGATTATCACAGCCTTATTAAATCCAATAACCTTAACAGATCAATCACAAAACTTGGATAAATAAAAAAAAAAGTTATAATCATAAAAACACAACTTCCTCTAAAAGTTACTTTTCAGTAGTCTAACATGCATGTCAACATCTCAAAAGGCTAAGCCTAAGTGAATGGTATAATGTAACAATAATTAGAATGACAGTAAACATTCTAAGACATGAGAGGAATGACAGATCTTACAAATTCTTCTAGTCTTCTGAAATCCTATTTGTAAAACTTTGCTCTCACATCTCAGAAATTCTTGATTTCAATATCACGTTTCCTCTACAACAAGCAAAGCTTCAGGAAGAATCACTGCTTGGGCCATGTAGAAGATAATAACCAAGTGAACATGGGCAGTTACTATACTTAGAGCAAGAGTTCTGTACAAGTCATGTCCTTTTATGTTCATTTACAAGAGTTATCCAAAATTCATCTGCATAAAATAACGAACACACGTCAGTACTGTCAAAGGTGACTTTCTTGGCAATATCTACTCTTCTTTATGAAGGAGAAAAAAAAAAAAAAAAAAAAAAAATACATATCCAACAGATAACAGACTCACAAATGTCTTAGTTCTTGTTTCTAACAGAAAAGCCTCACAGTTTGTTTTTCTTTTCTTCATAGACAGAAACACACCACAAAAAATATTTATAAATAAAAAAAAAATATTAGAATTATGCATAATATACAAACAAGAGCAACTTATCCACACAAATATACAAAGAAGCCTCAAAAGAAAAGTCTCAATTCAACCAGATCGGAAACAAAGTGCAACCAAAGCTTTTTTTCATACCATCCTACAGCTGCAGTTGAGTATTAATTACTGCATCTAACATTAATGAACTTAAAATTTCTTAAAATATATATAGAAATATCCACTAAATCTGTAATAAATATAAAGAGAAAGGGTATACTGAGAAAGAAAAATATATATATTTATAAGGAATGCAGATCAAAGAAAGATCTACTAAGGAAAAAAAATGAAAAGAAGAAAAAAAATCTTGAACAAAACATCTCAACAGAAGAAACAAAAAAGGAACAGGTTTGATAATAACATAAATGAACACTTTTTCCAAAGCAGAAAAAACAGAATCAGAGAGAGAAAAATGCCCTTCAGCAAGGCCTCTGACTATGTAGAAAAAGATCCCCGATGGATCAACTCCCTGTACACATTAACTCATGTCTCAACTAACTAGAGAAAGGTTTCATCTGTTCCAGCTGCATTTCAAGTGCAATTCTTTCTTCCATCACCTGAAATAGTAAACAATAACAATAATTAGTAAAGGAAAAAAATAAAAGGCAAAGGAAGAGAAAAGCTTCCAAGATTTAAGACTAGATATATGTAGAGAGAAATACACAATAATGAAAATTAACCCTTTTCATGACCATCACATCATGAGAAAATCTGGCTTAAGGGGGAGGTGACATGAATATGACACCATGGGTAAAACTGGCTGTGGGCCAGGTGACACAAACTTGCCATGGTGATGGAAAAGGCTCACCACAAGTGCAGAAACCTCTTCAAGGGAGATTAGACTCGTTTAGAAGGTCTTTTGTCTTATCCCTCTGATAAACGAGTGTGGAATAAAATGTCTGTAAGCTATGACGAAGAGTGCCAGCTCCAGGGAGGACACCATTTCCATGCTCAGCATCCTATTCCTGGCTGCCATGACCAGTGTCAGCAGTTATATTACAGAAAATTGAATATTACAAAAAAATAAATTACATGACACAAATAACAAAATATTACATTTTTTTCTTGCTCTGAGTTATTTACTACTTCTAGAAATGATATGGAGTCTGTGCAAGGAAAACAAGTGTATTAACAAGTGGATAAACCAAATCATAAGACAAATATAGACATGGGGAATTGGCAAAAAAGCTTAAGGGAACCCTCCCTTGGCAAGGGAAGGGGGGTGAGGAAGGTCAAACTGAGTAAGCTAGCATATTGTATAGGTACAAGAATGAGGAAACTACCAAATGACTATTAAAGCTGAGCTCTAGTTATTTCTTGGATGGCACACGCAAGAACCGCCAATACGTAGATAAGGTACACAGCTCATATGAGCCCAGTACACCTGTGTTGTTTGTTACAATCTTGCATGCGGCACTTGATAAAGACATTGTGTATAGATACAAGTTTGTGAATATTCAAAGAAAACTTTTATACCATTATCAGAAAAAAATAATAAGTGATTTATACTGGTATATTTTATGAAATCTTTCTTTAAAAAAAAAACAAGTTTTGTGTACTTTTACATGTGAAATATGCTTTCCATTGGGACTCCCTAGTAATATATTGTGCCTTACGAAGAGATCTGTATATACGAGTAACTGTCATGTTGTATTCATGCTAGGACTATATAACTAGAATGATTTTGTACTGATATTGCCATCCACAGATCTTCATTTCTTCAAATTTGGATTTTCAAAACGAAGCTGGTCTAATTAGTTGTCTTTATGATTTAATTAATTCATTATTAAACTTTAAAGACAACAATATCTACTTTTATATCCAAAAAAGAAGAAGAAAAAAAAAGAGAAACCTTTACAGAATATCATCCCTATTGAAAATAAAACTTCAATTGACCTGGTAATCATTGCATCGCAAAGTACACTAAACAAGTTTTTTTTTTTTCATATATAACATCATTAGGTTTAGCATGATAATGAACTTTGGCAACCATCCAAATTCCTAATGGTTTCTCTCAGAATTTTGTTTACATAAGCTTCAGTACATCCCAGCGGTCGTAATTTCCTTGCAATTCATATACGGTTTATTGCTTTTACTACAGCATAGGAGTGCTAAGGTCATGTAAATAGCCAATTTTTAAATTTTGGAATAAATCTAAAAATATGGATTAGATAACACTGAAAAAATTACCAAAAAGTGGTCACTATGTCAACCAGACCCCTACCCACCCCCAAAAAAAAGGAAACAAAAAATTCTCTTTACATGGCCTTAGCATCAAATAGATCTACCATAAGTATTTATAGGGGGTAAATCAAGGAAAAATTATGACCGCTGTGATGTACCAAAGACAGTATTTTTTTTTTACTCTCTCTCTCTCTTTTATACATCTTCGGGGCTCCCACACCCCCTATGGGGAGGGGGGGGGTTAAAATGATATATGAAACAAAGAGCAATCATATACTCTACATTATGCAAAAACAATCCATGAGTTATCTCCAACCGACATATTTTTATGAAGAAATTAGTAGAGCAATAGTTTATGCACAAAAAGTTCATACACAATAACATTGCAAAGTTATTGTGCATAAAGTTATGCATCCGACCTACACCCTGCACACCCAGCAGATAGCCATTTACATAAGCCTGATATCCATTCTTTAGTCCATGTACCTCCCAAGAAGCAACTGGATTCAAGGAGTTAAAAAGAATAAAGAACAATATAAAACAGTTAAATTAACCAACTGGATCCCAGTAACATGACTAATATGTTATGAAAAAATTTGGCTTTTGCATTATTTCCACCAGTAAATGAGAGTGGAATGTACCATTTGTGAGCCATCGCTGGAAGAGCGCCACCTCCATGGAGGACATTATCTCCTGCCCACCTTGACAGGTGATTCATGGTGTGCTACAGAAAACTGAATACAAAAATATTAAAAAGTGAGACCATTAAAGAATCATAGACTACCTAGACAGATAATATGGAGTCTGTTCAATGAACAGACTCCATAGAGCAGGCATGTAAGCCACATCAAGGAGAGTTGCCACCTGAGAAAGCCTAAAGGCCAGGTTTTGGTCTAGGTGTGGTCCATGAAGCAACCAGATCCATCAGGTTATTGACACAATGATGATAATTTCGAGAATATGGAAAAATTACCTACTGTTTTAAAAAGCACAACAGTTCTTCAGTCATAAACACTGTCATTCTTAATCATTCAAAAGATATTTGAAAAATTATTTTTCATATTCCTTGTGCCTTATCTTCTGAACCTTCTATCATTATATTCAAAAAGATTTATCTTCAAGATTCCATCATCCAAATTTCTACCCTATTTAACATATAAAATCGACATGCACGCAGAATGGGACACATCATATTAACCCACTGGCAACAGGTATATGAAATACTTCTTAAATATTTGTTTTGGTAATTTGATTACACATAAATGTATTCACTAAGCACTTGGTTATCAAGAAGTCAATCACTAGTCCTACCTCATTTTACCTGCTTACCCCATTCCTTAAATCTGGAGGACTTAAATGTTATTTGTAAAACTATTCTTAGCATTATCATTATTACCATTACTGACATTAAAATTGTTATAACATTAATTCACTACTAATAGAAATAAAAACAAAAATATTTCCTTCCTGAAATTCAAGGGATGGGGGTAAATAAGTGAGATCTAGTACCTGACACCATCTATATACAAATAAAATTAGTTAACTACAATCAAAGTATACATGCCCTCCTAGTATCAACTGGATATAGACAATCTTTGGGATCATGCACTCACCTCAGCTAATTCTTGATTAAGCTCAGAATTTAATCTGGTGAGTATAGTATTCTTTTCAGTTGTTGTTCTAATTGAAGCTTGTAGCTCTCTTTTATCCTTTGGTCTGGAAAAAATATATATCAATAATGGTCAATTATCATATTAAGTCACTTAAGTATGTCAGTTTCATTTCCCAAGTGATTTCCATTTAAAAGTATCCACCTCCTGACACCATCCCTTTTTGGAAATCAAACAATATAACACCCTTGCCATCTCCCTACAATCATGAATTAAACTACTACTACAATAAAACCATTGTCAGCACTGCATGTAACACACCTGGCTCCTGTTGACATATGCCGTGTTCTTTCCTCCTCTTCACCCCTTGGTCCCGACACACGCTCAAAAGCTGATCCAATTTCTATAAGAATGGGGAATGATATACTGACAAAAAATTTTGTTTTTAAGGCTGGAATATATCAACAAACCAATGTGTACAATGATGATGGAAAAATATATATATATTTTTTTTTCAAATTAATTCATCAATGAATTCCAAAAAAAATAAAGAAACAAAAAACTTGCCTTGGTGAGGCTTGCGGTACACTTCAAAAGCAGATGCCCTAGTGTGCTCCACCGTGGGTCGGGTATCAAGGGGGAAAGCTGGATCATCGCCCTGACTAGTCTCTGTTCCTGCCATATCACCATCACTTTTCTGGTATATCAACTTCTTGGGAGAGCTCTGAAGAAGACAAGTGAGCCTTAGAGTAAACAACAAAGCCATGACCTCTACAAACTTGGGGTATATATAAAAAAAAAAAAAACACATACTGGGTATTTTTCTTTTTTCTTTAATAAATTTTGAAGAACAGCTGCTGTCACTTTAAATCACTGAAATGATGAATGTAAAAGGAGAAGTATTGAACTGTAAATGGAGAAGTAATGCATGTATTCTATATTCCCATTTTTGCATACCTCAGTCAGTAATCAAAATCTGATCAGTATTGCATTTTGGCCATATCCAAAACATTTTCAGTGATGTTTCTCTACTTCAGATCTTTCTTGTCTCTTTAAAACATCTTTAAAAAATCAGAAAGATAATTAACTGTATACTGTGAAGCCTGCCTAGTAAGCTTAATTTTTTTTTTTTCAATGTCAATCACTTGTTATAGTTACATTTCTTTATATAATTGGATATCAACACAAATACACTATATACATGAACTAGCGCATACACATCTGCATTTCCTCTCTTTCTTTCTAACTTTCTTTCTCTATATATTTCTTTTTCATAAGCTTCAAATCTAAGCTATTTTTTGACATGTCTCTAATTTTAAAATAACACAAAAATAACAGATATTTCACTAAAGGTATAATAATGTCAAAATTTACACAGACTTGAATGCCATTCTAGCTATGTATGGACTATGCTATAGTTCCTAAAGTTTTCGTAATTCAGCATTAAAATGATAAAAAGCGGGATACTTTTCCAGATGAAAAAAAGAAAAAATCACTTTGCGAGCATATTCAAATGGGTTTGTGCATGTGTAAAACTTTTTTTTTTTCAGTGATTGCATTTTGCCATTAATATAAAATTTTGGAAAAAATAACCAGGATAGAGAAAAAAAAATAGAAGCACACATCAACTTTGCTAACCAGGTGCAAGTTGAGCCAAGTATAAGCTAGCAAAATGGCCAATGTCAGAAATAAATGAATATTTATCTACAAGATTTCAAAATTTTCAGCTTCATGAGTAGCTCCTGGCATGATATACTTTACTTAAAACTCTTGCATGTGTTAACATCAAATTCATCTCCTTTAACTATTATCAAATTTTCATTTCATGTAAATTCAGGTCTTCTGAAAAGACTTACACTGCCCCAAGAAAAGATACTAAACAAACCACCATCAGTTATACTTGGATAAACATCTACTTTTAATTGGTTCAGAAGCACAAACAAACCTCATAATTAATAGCATTATTTACATCAGTCGGTGGAAATCTTCGTTACTCACCCATATCGTTGGCAGTTCTCTCTGCAGTGTGAAGTCGAAAAGGCATAGGGAAACATCCAGTTATGATATACAACATATGACAACATTTCTACTACACAACATGGTGTGTGGAAATCAGAGTATTATTCATCCTGTGACCCACCAATAAGTCTTCCTAGTCTTCAAAATACTATAATAAATAATAGCCTATGGCTGAGGTATGTCACACATTATGAATAATACTCCCCACAATCTTCTTCAAGCAAATTATCCACCATAAAATAAAATTATCCACATTAAGAAAGTCTTACTCGAAATAAATAAATGCACGCACAAAAAAATAAAATACTATCAAATCATCAGTCAAAAAAAAAACTGTGATTCTTAAAAATCATTTTCAGTGTCAGAATAAGTGCCACTAGAACTGGGATCTATGACTTTCTGTTCTCTTAATTCCTTTATTTTTTCATCCACTGTATGCTCATGATATGCCAAGGCCTTTGCTTGTGTATTTGCCATTCAAAAGGCAAATTTCATAATTTGTACTCTCAAGATTCATTCTAATGCAACGATCACAAAGCCCTCTTCACTGCAGTACTAATGGTAACCAGCAAAATAGATAAAAGGAGTAAATAAATATAGTTTCTACAATAAGAATTAAAAACAGTTTAACTTACACAAATGCATTAACCTTTTAAAATTCATAACTACTACTGTTACACCAAAATTAACTATATTGCAAAATTCAGGGTATGACCAAGCAAAAACACTACATGAAGTATAAGGGAAATAAATAAAAATTATTGGCACTTTCTGTATATAAAGATATACATGAAAAACTAACAATAAAAATACAGTATAGTATAATTTTACAAAAGAAAGTGTAAAATGAATAACTGTATACAAAAATTGAAAATTTTATCCACAAATCAATTATAACACTGAATGTTCCTTATTATCATTTACAATCTCTTTTAAACATTTTTAAAATACAGAAAATAAATGATCAAAAAAAAAAAAAAAAAAAAAAAAAGGAAAAGAAAAAAAACTACGCTTAAAAGTATTCAAGACAGAGAACGTGTTCATTGACGTACAAATTATAAGACAAAAGAAAAATGACAAACTTACGGCTCCAGGCGAGGCTCGAGGAGGAACAGCTGGGGGTGCTCCCAAGAAACTGCTGCGATCTAAGGAAAAGCATACACCGAGTCAAATATAGGGAGGTGCCTGAATTTCAGTTCTGCAATTGTAATACATCCTTAAGCCCTTATCTAGTATAAAGGAGAAAGCTAAACAACTTTTTGCAAAATATGGATGATTTACCATTCAATGCATGAGCAAAACAATTTAAATTTTCAAGATTCTGTACAAGGTCAAAAAAAGAATTTCTCAAATATATGAATTTCCTGTTCATCCAAATACATAAACTAATACAAAGGACACAAAAAAATATTTCTTACTAAATTTATTAAGGTCGAGGGATGACGAGCGAGTGTGAGTACGGGCAGGCCTCGGGGGTGGCGGGGGAGGTGGGTCTTTCTTCCCTCCAGACAGGGGAGCGCTGGGCATCATGGGTAAACTTGTAGGACCATACATTCTAAGAAGTAATGAAGATATTGTTTCATGTCTCAAACAGTACTTCATTAAGGGTGTTTGCTCTAGACTGACTCCATGCAGTAGTGGACTTATGACAAGTCCTCCAATGCAGTGGTTTTCAACCTGTGTGACTAGCTTTAGTCATTTTATAAGAGCCAATTATCTTAAGCCTTTATATGTACTATAATAATAAAATAAGAGTATGAGAAAATATCCAATAGGGAAAATCAAAAGTGGTTAGAGAACAAAAAGAAAATAATAAAATAATAAAATAAATAAAATAAAATTACATAAAAATTATAAGGGATTCAAAAAACATCTGATAACCACAATTCCTCAAGCACATGGAGGAGGAGGAGGAAGGAGGAGGAAGGAGGAGGAGGAAGAGGAGGAGGAGGAGGAGAGGGAGAGGAGGAGGAGGAGAGAGGAGAGGAGGGAGGAGGGGAGAGAGGAGGGAGGAGGAGGAGAGAGAGGAGGAGGAGGAGAGAGGAGGGAGGAGAGGAGAGAGGAGGGAGGGAGGAGGAGGGAGAGGAGGGAGGAGGAGGAGAGAGGAGGAGAGGAGAGGAGAAGGAAGGAGGGAGGAGGAGAAGGAGGAGAGGAGGAGAAGGAGGAGGAGGAGGAGAGAAGGAGGGAGGAGGAGGAGAAAAGAGGGAGGAAGAGGGAGGAGAGAGGAGAGAGGAGGAGGAGGAGGAGAGAGGAGGGAGGAGAGAGGAGGAGGGAGGAGGAGGAGGAGGAAGAGGAGGAGGAGGAGGAGGAGGAGGAGGAGGAGGAGAGGAGGAGAGAGGAGAGAGGAAGGAGGAGGAGGAGAGGGAGGAGGGGGAGGAGGAGGAAAGAAGGAGAAGGAGGAGGAGAAAGAGAAAGAGGAGGAGAGGAGGAGAGGAGGAGGAGGAGGAGGAGGGAGGAGGAGGAGGAGAAGAAGAAGAGAAAGAAGAAGAAGAGAAGAAGAAGAAGAAGAGAAGAAGAAGAAGAAGAAGAAGAGAAGAAGAAGGAGAAGGAGAGGAGGAGGAGGAGAGGAGGAGGAGGAGGAGGAGAGGAGGAGAGAGGAGGAGGAGGAGAGGAGAAGAAGAAGAAGAAGAAGAAGAAGAAGAAGAAGAAGAAGAAGAAGAAGAAGAAGAAGAAGAAGAAGAAGAAAGAAGAGAAGAAGAAGAGAAGAAGAAGAGAGAAGGAGGAGGGAGAGAAGGAGGAGGAAGAGAAGAAGAAGAAGGAGAAGGAGGAGAGGAGGGAGGAGGAGATGGAGAAGGAGAAAGAGGAGAAGAAGAAAGAGAAGACAGAGGAGGATGAGAAGGAGAAGAGGAAGGAGGAAAAAATAGGAGGAGCAGAAGAGGAGGAGTAGAAAAAGTGAAGAGGAGGAAGAAGAGAAGAAGTAAAGAGGAGGAAGTGAATGAAGAGGAAGAAGAGAAAGGAGGAGGGAAAGAAAGGAGGAAGAGGAGGGAAGATGAAAGATGAGGAAGAGGAAGGAGGAGGGGGAGGAAGAAGAGGAATGAGGAAGAGGAATAAGAGACTGGAGAAGGAAGAAGGAAGGAGGGGGATTAATATTAGGAGGAGGAAGAAGAGAATTATGAGAAGAGGAGGAGAGGAAGAGAATAGGAAGAGGAAGAGGAGGAGAAGGAGAAGAACTAGAACAAGAAGAATAAGTACAAGAAGAACAAGAAAAAGTACAAGAAGAACAGGAATAAGTACAAGAACAAGAAAAAGTACAAGAACAAGAATAAGTACAAGAAGAACAAGAATAAGTAAAAGAAGAACAAGAACAAGAAAAAAGGAGAAAGGAAAAGAAGAAAAAGAGGAGGAAAAAGAGAAAGAAGAGGAAGAAAAAGAATAATAAAAAGAAGAATAGGGAGAGGAAGAGGACAGGAAGATAAAGAAAGAAAAAAGAAAAGGAATATAAAAAAGTAACTAGATAGTAACTAGAAAAAAAACAAAAAAAAAAAAGGAAAAACACACACAAAAAAAGGAAAAAGGAAGAGGAGAAAAAAATATTATCAACTACACTGACACCCAAATACACCCTGAAACTCAAATTTTGCTTCGCTCTTTAGAAGGTTGAGATCCACTGCCGTGAATGCATGGTAGATTGGTCCCCAAACACGGAAGATGGCTTGGAATACAACTCACCCATTGTCCTCTGGTGGAGTGCTTACTGTGGAATGGGGTGGCGGTGGGATTACAGCGGCTCCGGACCCTGGCAGAGAAAGGGGGGTCTTTTAGGGCACCACTTGGCTGGAAAACCACTAACTATAAACCCCTACCCAGAATGTGCCCTCATCTGCGACTGATGAATGCTAAAGCTCATAATATAGATACACTTCAAGATAAAATATCACAAAGCAGGTGGCGGAAGCGGGGTGGGGGCAAGGAGGAATTAGAGGGAGAGAGGAGGAGGGATAAGAAGAGGAGGAGGAGGAGGAGGAGGAGGAGAGAAGACTTGGGGGAGGTATGAGGAGGGTAGGAGGGGAGAATGAGGAAAAGGGAATAATGAGGGGTAGGAGGAAAGAGGAGGAGGAGGAGGAGAGGAGGAGGAGGAGGAGGAGGAGGAGGAGGAGGAGGAGAAGAAAAGAAGGAAATGAGGCGAGAGTAATGAGGGGGAGGAGGGGAATAGGGAGGGAGGAGGAAGGAGGAGGAGAAAGAAAGGGAGGAGAGGAGAAGAGAGGAAGGGAAGGTGAGGTAGGAGAGGAAGGAGGAGAGGAGAGGAGAGGAAGGAGAAAGAGAGGAGGAGAGGAGAGGAGAAAGAGAAGGAGGAGGAGGAGAAGAAGAGAGAAGAGGAGGAGAAAGGAAGAGGAGAAGAAGGAAGAGGAGGAAGAAGGAGGAGAAGAAGAGGAGAAGAAGAAGAAGAAGAAGAGAGGAAGAAGGAAAGAAAAAAGGAAAGAAGAAGAAGAAGAAGAAGGAGAAGAAGAAGGAGAAGGGAAGAGAAGAAGAAGGAAGAGAAGAAGAAGAAGAAGAAGAAGAAGAAGAAGAAGAAGAAGAAGAAGGGAAGAAGAAGAGAGAAGAAGAAGAGAGGAAGGAAGAAGAAGAAGAAGGAAGAGAAGAAGAAGAAGAAGGAAGAGAAGAGAAGAGAAGAAGAAGAGAAAGAAGAAGAAGGAAGAAGAGAAGAAAGAAGAAGAGAAGAAGAAGAAGAAGAAGAAGGAAGAAGAAGAAGAAGAAGAAGAAGGAAGAAGAAGAAGAAGAAGAAAGAAGAAGGAAGAAGAAGAAGAAGAGAAGGAAGAGAAGAAGAAGAAGAAGAAGAAGAGAAGAAGAAGAAGAAGGAGAAGAAAGAAGAAGAAGAAGGAGAGGAAGAAGAAGAAGAAAGGAAGAGAAGAAGAAGAAGAGAAGAAGAAGAAGAAAGAAGAAGGGAAGAGAAGAAGAAGAAGAAGAAGAAAGAGAAGGAAGAAGAAAGAAGAGAAGGAAGAGAAGAAGAAGAAGGAGAAAGAAAAGAAGAAGAAGAAAGAAGAAGAAGGAAGAGAAGAAGAAGAAGAAGGAAAGAGAAAGAAGAAGAAGAAGAAAGAGAGAAGAGAAGAAGAAGAAGAAGAAAGAAGGAAGAAGGTAAGGAAGAAGAGAGAAGAAGAAGAAGAGAAGAAGAAGGAAGAAGAAGAAGAAAAGAAGAGGAAGAAGAAGAAGAAGGAAGAAAGAGGAGAAGAAGAAGGAAGAAGAAGGAGAAGAAGAAGGAAGGAAGAGGAGAAGAAGAAGGAAGAAGAGGAGAAGAAGAAGGAAAGAAGAGAAGAAGAAGAAGAAAGAAGAAGGAAGAAGAGGAGAAGAAGAAGGAAAAGAAGAGAAGAAGAAGAAGGAAGAAGAAGGAGAAGAGAAGAAGAAGAGGAAGAAGAGGAGAAGAAGAAGGAAGAAGAGGAAAGAAGGAAGGAAAGAAGGAGAAGAGAAGAAGGGTAAGAAGAGGAGAGAAGAAGGAAGAAGAGGAAGAAGAAGAAGGAAAAGAATGAGGAGAAGAGGAAGAGAAGAAAGAAGGATGAGACTGAGAAGAAGAAGATCGAGAGAAGAAGAAGAAGAGGAGAAGAAGGAGAAGAAGAAGAGAGAAGGAAGACAGGAAGAGAAGAGGAGAAGAAGAAGGGAAAGAGAGGAGAAGAAGGAATAAAGAGAAGAGGAGAAGAAGAAGAAGAAGAGGAGAAGAATAGAAGCAAGAAAGGAAGAAGAGGAGAAAGAGGAGAAGAAGAAAAGAGAAGAAGAGAAGAAGAAGGAAGAAGAGAAGAAGAAGAAGAGGAGAAAAGTAAAGAAAGAGGAAGGAGGAGAGAAAGAAGGTAAGAAGAGGAGAAGAGAGAAGAAGAGAGAAGAAGAGTGGAAGTGAAGAGGTAAAGAAGAAGGAAGAAAGAGGGAGAAGAAGAAGGAAGAAGAGGAGAAGAGACACAGAAGGAAAAGAAGAGGAGAAGAAGAAGGAAGAAGAGGCGAGAAGAAGAAGGCAAAGAGAGATTAGAAGAAGGAATAAAGATATAAGAAATAAAGTAAGATCTGGAGAAGAAGAAGGAAAGAAGAGGAGAAGAAGAAGGGATAGAAGATGAGAAAGAAGAAGAAGAAGAGAGAGAAGGAGAAGCAATGAGAGAAGAGGGAGGAGAGAAGGACGAGAAGAAGAGGTAAGAAGAGGAGAATAGGAGGGAAAAGCTGAAGAATGAGGAGAAGGTAGATAAATGGAATAAGAAGAGGAGAAGAAGAAGGAAGAAGAGGAGGGAAGGAGAGAAGGCAAGAAGAGGAAGAGAAGAAATGGAGAAGTAAGAGGGAGAAGAAGAAGGCAAGAAGGAGAAGAAGAAGGGAGAAGAGGAGAAGAAGAAGGGAAAGAAGAGGGAGAGAGAAGAACGAAGGAGAAGAGGACGAAGATAGAAGGAAGAAGAGGAGGAATGAGAAGGAGAGAAGAGGAGAAGAAGAAGGAAGAAAGAGGAGAAGAAGGAGAAGGAGGAGAAAAGAGAGAAGAAGGAGAAGGAGGAGAAGGAGAAGGAAGGAGCAGGAAGAAAGAAGAAGAAGAAGAAGGGAAGAAGAAGAAGAAGTGAAGAAGAGAAGAAGAAGAAGAAGAAAAGGAAGAAAGAAAGAAGAAGAGCAACAGAAAGAAGGAGAAGAAGAAAGTAAGAAGAAAGGTGAGGGAATAGAAGGAGAAGGAGAAGGAGAAGGAGAAGGAGAAGAAGAGAAGGAGTACCGGGAAGAAGAAGAAGAAGAAGAAAGAAGAAGAAAGAGAAGGAGAGAAGAGAAGAAGAAGGAGAAGAAGGAGAAGAAGAAAAAAAGGGAAGTAGAAGGAAAAGGAGAGTAGTAAGGAGAAGATGTAAGAAGTAAGGAGATTGAAGGCCCAGAAGAAAGGAAGAAGGAGCCATGAAGAAGAAGGGGAAAAAGTGGAGAAGGAAGAAAAGAAGGAGAGGAAGAAGATAAGAAAGTGAAGAGAGAAAAAAGATATGGAGCGAGAAGGAGAAGGGAGAAGGAGAGTAGAAGGAGAAGGAGAGAAGGAGAAGGAGAGAGAAGGAGAAGAGAAGGAAGAAGAAGAAGAAGAAGAAGAGAAGAAGAAGAAGAAGAGATTGAAGATTGAAGATGAAGATTGAAGCTATGGAAGATGAAAGATGAAGATGAAGAGTCATTGAAGAATGAAGGGCCATGAAGTTTGAAAGATTGAAGATGAAGATGAAGATGAAGATGAAGCATGAAGAAGGAAGGAAAGGAGAAGGAGAAGGAGAAGGCAGAAGGAAAGAGAGAAGAAGGAGAAGGAAGATAAGGAGAGAAGGGGAAGGGGGAAGACGGGAAGGGAAGGGAAGGAGAAGGAGAAGGAGAGAGGAAGTGAGGAAGGGTCAGAAGTGAGAAGGAGAGGAGAGAGGAGAAGAGGAAGGTAGAAGGAGAAGGAGAAGAGAGAGAAGTGAGAAGGATGAAGGAGAAGTGAGAAGGACGAAGGAGAAGGAGAAAAGGAATGAGAGGAAGAGAGAGGAGAAGGAGAGGAGATAAGAAGAAGAAGAAGAGAATAGAAGGAAGCAAACGAGGAAGGCAGTGAAGCGAGAAGTAGAAAGAGAGAGATAGAAGAGAAGATCAGGATTGAGATTGAGAGAGAGAAGAGAGGGAGGACTGGAGAGGGAAGGAAGCGTGAGAGAGGAAGGGATGGAAGGTATAGGAAGGATAGAATGATNGATTTAATAAAACAATAATGGTTTTAATAATAATAACGACAAAAAAAAATGCTAATAATAACAACAATAATAAATCAATAAATAA